GCCATCCATAATAAACATTCTCTGTATTTCCTTCCTGCTTTTAATAATTGGTAGACCTTCATGCTTTTAATAATGATTTAAACATGTTTTTAGTTCCTGCAAATATTGCTCATTTTATTTTAAATTCTTGTAGAATATCTTTTTTGTTTTTAATCTCTCAAATTTATGCTGATTTTATTTTTAGTCCATCACTGACGATAACAATATCCGTTTAACTACGAAACAATCCCAACTAATAGCTTTTTCTCTGATTCTTTTGTCATTCTATTCGAAAAGTCTTCAATTTTTATTTTGAGAAGGAGTTTAATACGTATTTTATTATTATCAGTTTTACATTATTTTAACATCACATTAGTCTCAAAAAAGTTAAAATAGAATAAATTAAAGTATCTAATAGATTTGTGTAACCGATAATCATTTTTCCCTATATAGAGTGATTTCAGAATCGAAGATGATCTAGAAACAAAATAATGTATGTTTGAGAGATGAAAAACAAAAACAAAAAATATTTTAGAGAGACCTCAAATATTTCAAGTTTGCAAAGAGCCAAAGACTAAAATTTGAGCTTTTAATAATTGACTAATTGAGTAATTAATTACAAATGATTATCGTTTCCTCTCTTGCGCGCGTCTGTCATCATGAAGTTCCCAGTTTTTTAAAACAAATGAGTATTTTTTCGGTCCTCCTCACCAACCTAATAGATACTCCCTTCCCGTCCTTATCAAAGTTCTCAGTTTGACTTCACACAGATTAAGAAAATAAATTTGACTTTACTATGGAGTGCACTGTTTGGCACTGTTTGGACAATGTTTGACACTGTTTAGCACTGTTTTGCACTGTTTTGTTTCCTACAATGGAAGTGTGAACTTAAATAAGGGACATCCAAAAAGGAAAGTGAGAAATTTAATACGGACCGGAGGGACCGGAGGAAGTATGTATATTTTTTTATGCATATGTATCTTTATTTATACCTTTTGTTCAGACTAATTTATACCGGAGTAATAAGTTTTACAACCATGCTTGATGTACACACCTTATACACACCATGTATGCAAAGCTTTTTTTTGTGTGTGAATTCAGTTCACAGACAATATTTTGTTTGTACAAAACATTGTCTATGAATCGATGTTCACAGACAAAAAAAGGCTTTCACAAACATAGATGTGTACAAAGTGTGTATAAGAGTGTCTATAAACGTCATTTTTGTAAGTTTTATTTCTATCGTTACAACAGAAGTTCCTGGCCCACCATAATGATTTCTTGTGAGAACTAAAAACAAAACACATCAATTTTGATGGACGGCGGACGATTGATCAGTCCACAAATTCAAATTATTCATCGAAGTCCTCAAACAAATTGCATACATTATCATTTGAATATTTGATTAAGTTTAGTTTGAGTCTGTCGTTTTAGGCCTTTTTAATCTAGTCCAGTCTTTTCAGTCCTTTTACTTTAATTTATTCTGGTTTGGTCTAAATAGCTAATTTTAATTTGTTCAGTTTTAAATAGTTCTAGTGTCCAAACTTCTGCTCATTTTATTTTATGTTTAAATTTAACTTGATCAAGGAGATAAAAACAAGAATACATACTTACTCAAATCTTCCCCCATCCCGGATGTTTTTATTTCAATTGTTTTAAACAGAATAGATCGGATCAGACCAGATCGGATTAGATCAAATCAGACCGGACTTAAACATACTAGGTCAGAACATATTTCGATAGTTATAAAAATATATATAGACCAGGCATATAGGGGGGCATCGGTCCGATTTGAGTCGAGTTTTGTTAAACCCGGAAATTATCCGTAAGGTTTCGAGTTATGAAAATTAGGGATCGAAACAAAGCCCATTATACGTGATCCGAGTCAGGTTTTTCGGTAGCCCGAGTTCAGTCCGAGTATGGGCTGAGCCGATTAAAGACCCGAGCGTGAAATCATCTCGATCATTACCCTTTTATATTTTAAATCTTATTTTCAAATAAAATTAATAAAAAATACAAAGTGCAAATAATAACACAAATATTAGTTTCCAAAATCACCAACAATTGAAATCTAAGGAAACTAATTATCTTAATATTTTGTTTAAGAGTCATAAAAATAAATAATATAAGTTTTCTAAAAATATTATGAAATAAAACTTATGGATAAAAATATGCATGACTAAAGTTATTATAAAAATGTTTTCATGGTCATTACGGTTTACAAATTGAACATATTTGTAGTCACTAGAAGTTACAAGTCGTTTTTTCATCCACTGTGATTATAATCATATATTAGGAATTATTTAAAAATTATATTTGTATATTATATTGATTTTATATTAAAGCTAATTGTTTCGGGTTTTTATCGCTCCGGACCAGATTATAGATTTTAGGCACCGCTTATGAGTCCCAAAATTATGGGTTGGTCCTGTTTTTCTTATTCGGGCCGGTTAAAAAGAAAAAACCTGGATCGGGAACATCATTAGAGTCGGGCCAAAATCATTTTCTGGGTTTCGGTTCAGTTCCCCCCCACCCCTACTAAGACATATACCAAACTAGACCAAATCAAACTTAAATAAACTAGACTAGAACCAACCATTCCAGCTCACTGGGTGGAAGGTTATCGTGTCCTAGCGGAGGTCTCAGGTTCGAATCCCGCTAGGCACATTTAGGGGAGATGAGGGAGGTCTTGCTCCCAATGATTCTTCCTACCTTCACGGAGTTGCTCAGCGGCTGAGAAGGGAGAGAGGATGGTAATGAAGGTAGCGGGTTCGTGTGGTGGGAGGAGCAACCTGAAAGGTGATGTAAGTCCTGCTGGATTCGTCCTTTGGAGCCAGTACTGACGAGGCTGACTGTGATCAGATCCGGATTTAACTGTCTAGAGGCTTTGGAGGGTAGTTCATAGACTCCAGGATTATGGGAGCGTAAGTCCCGACACCTGGATTATCAAAAAAATAAAATAAAACTAGACTAGAATCACTAGATCAAACTACTTTTTCTTATACCCGGTCTCTCTGAAATGGTCATAGAAATATGAGGTTGACTTGGGCTTTCTCACGCATGACGCACCTCACAGCCTTAAAGAACCGAAATCAGTCCAAAACAGATCCAACCGTAACCGACATTGCTGACTTGGAACTTGAATCGCATGTATTCATCCCGCACACAATCTTTACATATTACGGAGTACATATTTACATACTACAAATAAAATCTTACGTGTGATAATTTTTGTGATTATTTTTTATCAATCATTACAATTTTACAAGTTACAAATTTGGATGTAAACAAATAAAATTTGATTTTTACACTTTATTTGTTTTATGAAAAAGAATACTTTTTCGACAGAGTGCTGCAATTATTAAAATATATTCCTTCTTTTCTATGACTTTGTCACCTTTTCTTTCATAGATTTGATAAAGTTATAAAGAATTGAGAGAGGAGTAATTAAAATTTTATTTGATTTTTAATAGAACTAATGATGACATTACCATGACATCACCACTTCCATGGCTTGTCTTTTCCAGCCTTATCTCTCCCTCTCATGTCCAAGGCAGATTGTGAAAATGGGGTAAGTTTTACCAATACATTACAAGAGTTGCAAAAAAAAATACAGGGGTGAGTTAAGGCAATGTGGCCGTTGACGAACCTAACTGTTCTCAAATTGTTCACTCAGCTCGATTTTGAACCTAATAAGCTAAGATTAATGACCTTCAAACTCGAACATGAGCCTTGTTTGAAGTTCAAATATTTTAGTTGAGCCGAGTTTAAACATTATGCTCTTTAGGTCCAACTCGAGCCAATTGAACACCCAGAAATTATAGTGATAAAATTATTATATTTTAAGGCACATGTGATAATATTGAAATTGGTTGAATCGACAAAATCTATTAAAATTGATGAAATTTTGGCTGAAGCGGCCAAGTTGGTAGAATTTACTAAATTATGTATTTAGAACATATTTTATTAATAAATTTTAGAACATTTATGAAAAGTCGTTAAAATGAACATCTACATCAAGAAAACTAACTACAGTCTTACTTATTCTTGTTATCACACAATTTAGCGCATAAAACTAAATACTCCCTAAATGTTTAGTAAAAGAGTTGGTTGATTAGATGAGAATAGAAGTTACCAAAAGAACTCTAAAATTTAATCATTTTAGTACTCTCTCCGGTCCTAAATAAACTTCACACTTTGACTTCACACAAATTAAGGAAATAAATTTGACTTTACTGTAGAGTACACTGTTGTGACACTGTTGGCACTATTTTGCACTGTTTTGATGTAGATAATTTGCCGAATAAGGAAGAGAGAAGAAGTGTGAAGTTTATTTTGGACCTACCCAAAAAGGAAAGTGTGAAGTTTATTTAGGACCGAAGTATTTTTTTATAATTCAAGCACACGTGCAATGATCATAAGCTAAACTTGTAGATTTGGGCATATTTATCTAAAGCTTAGTTTCATAACTTTCATTTCATTTTCATTTTCAATTACCCCAGTGCCGCAAAGGCTCCCACCTACGGTGGGTAAGGGGGAATCGAATGTACACAGTCTTACCCCTGTACTAAAGCACAAAGAGACTATTTCCGGATGACCCATAGTGAAAATCGCGTCCAAAATTGCATGGACCGACTGTTGCTCCATAACAAAGAAGCGCAGACAGTTTAGTGAGCCGTTTTGCTTTATTCCGTCATAATCTCAAGCCAAAAAATAATGAATCTTTGATTCCATTGCAAATGATGGAAATATCTAACGCTTAGTTTGAACATCGAAAATCCATTGAACTGAACTTGAGCCTCCTTTGTAAAGTTCATTGAGCTTTGAGCTATTAAAACCCGAACACCACAATTATTGAACCGAGCCAAACTCAAGCCTTTGATGTTTGGGCTTGGCTTGACTCAGCTCTTTAATAGCCCTAGGGTGAAGAACTCCAAATTTGGGGTTTCCACGTTTTCAGTTATTCACCCCTAACGTTGCAACTTGCAATAGCCTAATGCTTGTACAATGTACATGCAAATATACCTTAACATTGATATTATTTTGATATCATCAGCTGATAGAGGTATTGGTGACTCCCATATATTAGTTAGTGTTATACTGTTATAGTAATAATTTGTAAACATCCTCTCGAATGGCGTAAGTTGTGATGTCAAAAAAAGATCAGAACTTTGGTTTTGGTAGATGATCATCTAGGAGAAGGGATTACTGAACTACTAGAAAAACTGGGGCTCTCATTATCCAGAAAGCTCGTTAAGAGTGTTTTTCTGGAAGATTGATTCCGCGAACTCCCTGTAGACGCTGATTTGTCAAGTCCCATTTCAATTTTGATAGCATCCTGTATGGCCACTATGATTTCCTGCATCCTTGGCCTTGAGCTGCTGCGCCGGTCAACACATTGAATTGCCACTTCTGTTATCTTCCATATTGATTCAGCTTTAACTGTTCCTGCTATTGTAGGGTCTATTATACTAACCACGTCGCCTTTGTGGATCTGTGATCTCACCTGTAAATAAAGCTCAAAGGTTAGTGCATGGTATTCATATGTAAAGACAGAGAGAGAAAAACTTATGTTTTGTTTCTCACCTTTTATTAAGATATGTTGTTTCATACTGCAAAGTTACCTTTACTCGAGAATAGTTCAAGAGAAGTAACCTAATTTTTAGAGATGGTTATGATAATGTAAGATGCCTTGCAAGATGATGATACATTGGAGTCTTTGTACTCATTTTTATGTCTATCCCGATCGAATTGCTAAGTTTAGTATGTTATGATACTGTATAAAGATTTAAAATTTCATGCTAAAAAGTCAATCTAATAATATACATGTAAAGAGAGGAAAAGAGGTTAACTTTTGTTTCTCACCTTTTACTAAGACATGCTGTTTCATACTACAAAGTTACCTTTATAGAACTTATGAGAAGCAACCCAATTTCTTATAGGATTGTTATGATTATTTAACACCATGCGAGATGATGGCACATTGTAGTCTTTGTACTCATTTTTATATCTATCCTGATTGAATTCTCTGATACTATGATACTATATAAAGATTTGAGGCTTCATGCTAAAAAGTTAACCTAATAAGTAATATTATGAGTAGTGTAATGCTTTATATGTTAGTTGGGATGACTTAAAATTTGTTGATAAAGCACTATTCACCCAGTTAAGGCTTCTACTAAATTTGGCAATTATTATAATTATTATAATAACAATGACCAAAGAAATCATAGTACCCAGTGAACAATGCTCCAGTCAGCTCCATATTGCTCACTTGAGACTGGCTTTCTCCCAGAAATTAATTCCAAAAGCACAACCCCGAAACTATAAATGTCACTCTTTTCTGTTAATTGCTGAGATGCATAGTACCTAGTAGAAAAATATGAAACACGTTAAGCAAGCGATAAGAATACAATGTTGTTTTATACAATGTGGACTGAAATCGTGTGTTCCATATTTCTCGTACCCTGGATCTAGGTAGCCAATTGTTCCTCGTGCCACACTTGATACATGTGTCAAATCATCTTCAGTTTGCCTTGATAGTCCAAAATCAGATACTTTTGCACGCATATTGATATCAAGGAGAATGTTGCTTGTTTTAACATCCCTATGGATGATACTGGGGTTGCATCCTGTATGTAAGTATTCAAGACCTACACAAGATGGCTCAACAAATGGTTATCAAAGCACTGCTTGGAAATTGTTCTGGTTCTCAAATCTCAACAGAGAGAACTTCTAAGATAGTTAGCTGACCTTTTGCTGCATCTTGGGCAATTCGCAATCGTTCTAGCCAGTCCAGATGCTTTCCATTACTAGGATCTGTTCAACATAATAATATTGTGGTGAAGGAAAAAGGGTAAAAGTCGCTCATGTCTCTATTACTTGGCCCATGCACAGTTGCACACAAATAAATATTAACTTTGGTTGTTGAGCTTAATCTTTTGTCAACAGGGGGGAAATTTTAGAATTCCATTTTAGAGTTATATGAAAGGGTTGGGCTATTCGCCCATTAAAACGGTTTGTGAGCTAGGTTCAAGACTCCTGTGTAGTTAGCACTCTTCATACATATTATGCTGCATATGACTTAATAAGTATCGAATCATCAACTTTACAATCAATACATTTGATCTTAGTGTAATTCATTAATGTCTCTTAAACGTTTTAGATCTATTTATTGGTCAAAGCGAGTCAAATCTGTCTTAAAAATCCGATGCAGCCCAATTAACAATTTCTAAATTCATTGTGAAGAGTTAATAAGAATTAAATCATCCATGGCAAAACATTGGCACTTGAAATGTACTCTGAAGGGCCAAAGTGATATGGACTTAAAACTGATAATTTTTAAACTCAAGGATGATAAGTGAGGCAAATAAGTCGTGGGACCAAATTTGGTATTTACTTTAAAAACTATTTGATGATGGAATAGCAAAATGAGGAAAGCTTTAAGCATAGAGTGGGGTGCATACCATGTATATGATCCCTTAATGTTCCATTATGCATATACTCATAGACAAGCATGCATTGATACCCATCTTCATAGTATCCAATCAAAGGCACCAAATTTCTATGATGGATCCTTGATAACAGCGCAACCTGTGAGTACATAGACATTCTAACTTCAGTGTTTGCGATCTCTTCAAAATGCATTTCAACTATAGGAAAATATCATTATCATATTTCCCCCTCTACTGCAGAAATATAGGCAGTATGGTATGGACATAATTATACCTCTGTGAAAAATTGTTTGGTTCCATGACTTGATGGATCCGCCATGAGTTTGACTGCTATTTCCTTCCCGTCTCTTAATTTTCCATGGAAAACAGGTCCAAAACTTCCCTTCCCAATTTTCTTTGCAAATCTTTCAGTTGCTTCTTCTATGTCAGCAAGTGAAATAAAGCATGTCACACCATCATCCACTAATGATCCAACCCGACCAATATCATAACGAGTTGAAGGCTTTGTGCTACTGGGTAAATAAGTACCTGATAGAGGAGGCTCAAATACATAATATATGGATGTGGGGTCAAAATGATAGGAAGGTGAGATTAACTCACATACATGAAATTCTAACGGGTGCATACCTTCAGCTTCACTTCCTTGATGATAAGCTTTAGATCTAAAGTAACACAATAATAGCACACCAACTATGAATACAATGACAAGAACTGCAAGCAATCCTACTGAAACTTCAATTAGGAGTTTGTTGTGTTGCTTTCTATTTGTTCTATATTGCAAGTGAGCATTGCCTTCATATCTGCAAATGTATAAAGTCACAACTTAAAATTAAGGGTCTATTCGTAATTCATGAAACTTCCTCCTTTCTTTGCGTGTTTTAAACTGTTAATTAAAAGTTTTAAAACCACCCTCCTCTCTGAAAAATAATATTTCATACAATTCAGAATTGGATTGGAGACACAACTGAGTCATAAAGCATTTGATCCAAACCACACTAAAGGATTGAATCCAATTGATTAGCTAGTTCAACCCAATAAATTATATACTTACATGTCTCATTTAAAAATTTCATTATGGTAATGTAACAGTATTCAGTTATCAATGAGATGTTTTGTGTTAGTAAAAGGTAAGTTTTCTTTTTATGGACTCCACATAAAAAGTGCTAAGGCTAAAAAGGGTCAAATAGGTACATGAACTAACTTAAAGTGTTCAATTAGCCCCTTATTTAGGAGGTTCCGTCCGGCCGTCGCAAATTGAGGCGGTTCCCGATGGAATTTTTTGAGCATCTTCTTCATTAAGTCTAGTTTACCCATATCAAATTTCAGCTAAAAATTAAATCGAGAAGGCAGTCAAATGATTTTCCGAAATATACTGCGCTGTTTAACTGCGCAGTTATCTTCAAAAAAACATTTGACTGCCTTCCCGGTTGAATTTTTAGCTGAAATTTGGTATGGGTAAACTAGACTTAATGAAGAAGATGCTCAAAAACTTTCGTCAAAAAATTCCACCGGGAACCACCCCAATTGGCGACGGCCGATCAGAACATCCTATATAAGGGGCTAATTGAACACTTTAAGTTAGTTCATGTACCTATTTGACCCTTTAGCCAAAGTGCTAATGACATAATAAATTGACATCGACATGCACAGGTTTACAATTTTATTACCTTATGGGACACATTTTTGTCCATATATGAATGTAGCCACATTTTTGGAATATGGCTTCAATATAGTACTCCATCCGTCCCACTAAGATTGTCCCATTTTACCTTTTCGGGAAATCCCACTAAGATTGTCCCATACCATATTTGGTAAAGTTTGTGTGGCTCTTGATCATTCTTACTTTATCAATTCAATATCAACCACATAAACCCACTTTTCTTAATAACCGTGCCACCTTCTTCCGTCCCAATATGTTAGTGGGACGGAGGTAGTAATATTTAATGGAAAATATCTTATTTGTATTGTTAACTACAAGCATAGTTACCTGAAGTTAATTTTTCCTGTTAGCAAAGGTAATGGTATTTCTCCTGTTAAGCTATTGTGGCTTACATTTCTGCCACAACGAGAATAAAGGCATTATTAGTAGTGCAAGCAAAAAAGTTCTGCTTCAAATAGGTGAAATTTACAGGCCATTACTATATCTCCCCATTTTATGCTTCAAAGATAAAATTACCAAATGCAAAGAATATAATCCAATAAAGTAACAAGATCACTGCATACAGTTCCTGTAATCTTGGCATACTTCCTAAGAAAGCAGGTATTGCACCAGTCAGATTGTTTCTCTCCAGATGTCTGCATGTTTTACCATTGGAATATAAATGAGAAAGAATATAATTTTCTTGGATACGCACAATTAAATGTGGGCCTTGAACGGAGAACCTACAGGACTCTCAAATTGATAAGCTTGCTCATGTCAGGGATCAATCCAGATAAGAAGTTTCCATCCAACCACCTATATTAGTTTAAAGTCATTTGATTATGCATACAAATCATATGTTGTATAAGTCAAGGGTATAGAGGTGGAATGGAAAATATCACTTACAACTCCGTCAAACCTTCCATGTTATTGATCTCAAGTGGAATTTCACCCTTCAGATTCTTTCCCGATAGTGCACTGTTAAATATGATGAACATTGATTGATATATAAATTTTTGCAGGAAATGTTTTTTGATGCACAGAAAGATATATAGTGGATACCCTCACATTTTGGTGATTCTTGGAGGTGTTGCTGTGCTGCACTCCACCCATTCCCATAGTGTGGGAATGCAAGGGTCGCCACCTTCTTCTGTCCAGTTACTTCCCACTGACATGGAACTTATAGCATCTAGAGCATTCACTTTCATGAAACAATATTTCATTTTGTTAGCTTGTTTTACTGAAAATATTAAACCAATCATTAATTGTAGCATATATCTTGTCTATATTTTATTATGTTGCAACCAATGTTGCAAAAGAGAGCTAGTGCCGGACAGGGATCTAAAGGCTAGTAGGTTCTATTAAGGGTTAAACGTGGATTCTTACAACAATGGTTGTGCCCGAATGAAACTATGGGTTAAATCATCCTACATCGACCAAATATTAAAATACAAACTCGCATAAAAAAATTTGGGTTACACTCAAACATGCAATTCGATCTTAATAAGACTTGAAAGCATCACACGAATACTAAGATTGTTTTAATCCAGATAACTGCCATCTTGCGGGGTATTTTACATCATTGTGTGGTCAAATACCAACATATGAACTCACATATGATATCTTAAACTACTCCTATAAGGCTGACATGAATGCCCCACAAACCACCATTAGACTACATTCTAATATCATGTGAAAGTAGGTGTAACTTACCCCAATAGGATCCTCAAGCGAGGTTTATCACATGCTTATGTATTATTATACTTAAATTCAAGAGACAGCTGATGTAGGATACTCAACACTAAGTATAACATGATCAGAGTATTACCATCTAGTTGATCCGTCTTAGCAGCAATCTTTACATATTTGCTTATTTCCATTGCATTTAACAACGGTCCAAGAACTGAGTCATGGGTCTTCGCGAAGGCGAATGACAGAACAAAATCAAACGAAACATTCATGTAGCTAGGTTCATATAGAGTGTAACTCCCGTTCGCATTCTCAGCTATGTTGACCACAGCGTTGCTGTAGTCGGGAATATAAGGCTGTTCCATTTTGAATTTCCTGGTTTCGTTTGGACCCAAGTCCTGAATCTCAGCAAAGTAGGCACAAGCTCTAGCATTGGCTGGAAAGTCTTCAAGATTTAACCTGTAGCTTAGACTCCCTTTATTTCCAACAACAGCACTTTGCATTACTTTGACAGGCGGATACTCTCTTGTGTTTGTGTTTATGTGCTTACTAGTGTTTATTCTTTCTGTACCGGGGGCCACTCCTACTAGAAAATTTGGTCTTGTGTTGAGATCAGAACTCCATATGCGATCATAAGGATCGTCAGGGTACCTGTGAAACACACACGTGTATTCTCATTATATTATTTATTTTAAATACCCATTTGGCAAAAAAAATTAATATTTAAACTTTGAAAAAAATGTTACGAATGTAGTGACCAACAATCACTGGTGAATTACCTGATAGTAACTGCATGATCATTTTCAATCAACTTTTGGTCACTAGTAACTGCATTGGTATTTGGTAACATTTTTGTCTAATGTAGACTACTTAGTATTCCTCCGTCCCATTTTTTCTTGTTGTACAAAAAATATGAATACTTTCCTAAATTGAACTCCACTAACTTTTTACTTGCCCACTTTATCCTTTTATTGATCATTTCACCCTTTTTGGAGGTGATAATGGTAAAACACCCACTTCATCTTTTATTTTTTAACACCCGCATCAAACCCACATGTATCTTACATTATGAGATGGGGAGTAGTATTTAAAGAAATTGTCCTTTTATTTATTTCTTCAAAACCATTAGTAATGGAGATGATGCACCTATAGTAACTATTTGAACTCATGGTGCAAGGAGTAGCATCTATGTTGATGAATGCTTTGGATTTTTCATCCCATTTTTGACAGGAATGACATCTACTATGTTTTTTGTATGCGTTTACAATATTAACAGAATTTACAAAATTATTTTACACAACAGAATTCATGGCATGCAAATATAGTTGGGAATTGGGATTAAGGTGGTGATAATGGTAATGATGACTACAGGCATTTAATAAGGCGTGCAAGGAGTGCCAATTTAAACAACCTAAAACTTTGGAAATATAGTTTGTATAGCATATAAAAGCTCTTTGTTTGTGAATGTATATAACAACCTATTTATGTTTTAATTTGAAAAAAATATATTATAGTTTGAAACATATTCCTACATAAAAACTTTGCTTAATTTTTCCTAGGTAAAGCTACTTATTATAATTAACACAAAGCCTCAATGGCCTTGGTGTTGTCTGAGCTTGGATGAAAAGCATATAGATAGTATATACTAATATACCTTACTACATCATCAGTCATAGCTCCAAAGTTGACCCTTGCAGCCAATTTGAGGAAGAACTCATCTTCAAAATCTGTGGCATACATGGACAAGTTCAATGGACGGAGTTCAAGAGTGGAAATGAAGGGAGACCCTGTGGTTGCACAGCACACACACACATCAATCCAGTTTGAGGGAGCCCTTATGATCATTTCCTCCACATATATCCTTGAAGAATCTTCGATAGATATAGTTGCCCACATCGTAGCATCCAGGTAAAGCTGGAATTTGGGGTAAATTCCATCTGTTCCAATGTTTCCATACACGAAGGTAGCTCTTATTATATACCGCCTCCTCTCTTTTGTTCTTAATGTGTAACAATATTTGTTGCTATCAGCTGGGAACTCTCTCTTTGTCTGGTATTGCGGTGGCCTCCCATTTATGCTGTTGTTTACTTCCACTGCTTTCCCATGACCTATCATCCCATTGTCGGAATTCCACACTAAGCCAGTTTTTGAGTCTGTGTAATTTCTTGTGCCTCCACAATCAATACTGATGAACTCTGCACTTCCAAATTCAACCATTCTTTACTTTCTTAGACCACAACAATTTAACTTCCTTTTAACCTATAGACTTATGTACCAATCTTTTGGAATATCCAAATTCGGTTGTGGGATTCATCTGAACTTTTAGTATGGTTTCTAAATACGTAAATTGGGAGTAATTACTAACACTATCAGTGTGTTACTTAGTAGAGTTTCTAAACATGTAAATTGTTATTACCAACACTAATTAGTGTGTTATTAGAGAATTAACTTTATATCATACAGTAAGGCGTAGTTTAGTATGGACTGGAGGTACATTCAATTCTGTTTGAAAAGTCATCTGTTTTCATCTGAAATGTTTCCTTTTTAAAATTTCTGGGTGTACTATGTTAAACTGTGAACTGAAACCAGATCTAGTGATTGAGATAATAACTACAAAAGATGGCACATACCTGCAATTTGACACACCACAGATGGAGTGAAGATGACAAGTAGAATAAACAACTGTGGGAGAGAATCCATGGGAGATGATGATGATGTCAGGAAGAAGAGAAGACTGCTCTTTGGAGTTTACATTTAGTCTTCGCAGAATAATCATTCCCATTTGTACATATAGCTTTACAGTTCTGAAATTTGCTTTCACCAAAAAAGGTGTTCAACTTCATTTTCCAGTATAACTTTTTCTTTGCACTGGGAAAGAATATTAGAATGTGAACACAGCTCCAAACCAGGGAAAACGCTACTAGTACTCCGTCTATATCTTTGCAATGTTTGCATCATGCAATGTAGAATAAAGTGTAATGGTAGGAAAATAACAAATTCATTTTGAAACAATCCAATAAAAAAAGTAAGATAATCAAAATGAGACGGAAATGTGCGGGTGATGTTTGTGAAGGGAGAGAGAAATAATAAGAATATTAAATTAATTATTTAACAAGAAAAATGGTAAATTTTTTGGGATAGTCAAAAAAGAAAAGATGACAAGTTATAAAAGAAAGAATGAGTACGTACTTTGTGCTTAAATTAATTAAATACTTAAAAGTTAAAAACTGGAATGAAATTAAAACGTGCTTTAAAGTGTTTTTGATTTTTCTATTACACTACTATCAACATTTACTTTTTTAAAGGTATTTTTTTCTCAAACACTACTAAGAGAGTGTTTGTGATCGCTTCTACTTTAAAAAGTAATTTTTTTTAAGTGATTTTGGAGAAAGTGCTTAAGAGTAAAAGTTGATTATATTTAAGAAAAATTTGTTTTTGAAAAAGTAAAAGTTGTCAATGTTTGATAAAATAAGTGTTTTTTGTATTATATAAAAAGTTAAAAACAATTTAAAACATCTCCCTGCCTCCTTCCGGCTTTTAGGTTTTATGTGCTTCATTTAAAGAGAAGTTATCACTTGAAAACACTCATTTTAACTTTTTTATTCCAAAAAAAGGAAGATAACTTTTTTCAATTTGTTTGTACACACTCACTAACTTTTACTATATATTAAGCATTTCTACTAAAATCACTTTAAAAATTTAAAAGAAGAAGTAATTGCACACACTCACTATAGTATTACAAGTTCACTTTAAGCAATCTGTAAATTTTCATACTCCATATTTGTTGTACTAATTACAATAAACTAAGGGGGTGTTTGGCTAGGTCTGGGATCAGTTCGATTCTTATATAAAATTAGCGGAAGCGTTATAAAAAAAACTTAATTAGTTAAATCGGTTCGGTTCCTATATTAAAAAACAAGAACTGTTATGGAACCGAACCAATACTAAACGGTTCGATTCTCGCTTTTATCGGTTCTTAAAAATAAAATTTTCCCATTAAAAATAAACACAATTTACTTTCTACCAAAGAGAATGTCGAAAATTCAAAAAACAAGGAGTAAATACTCTTTGAAGCTTTAATCACTTCAAAAAACAAATATGGAACCAAATTGTACGAAGTATTTATTTGGGTTACGTTTACAATTATGAAATTTACGTGACAGTACCACAATTTAATTTGTACAAATTAGTTTAATGTATTCGTCCTCGTATACAATAATTTATAACTTCCATTTTCATCAGTTAGATTTATATTATTGTGTGCCAAAATGTTATCAATTACTCTGTATATTATTGTTATTATTACTAGTATTATAACTATTATCGTTGTCATTGTGAATGTTATTATTACTAGTTATACTTTCAATTTTGTTATTTTATTACTAACGGTTCTGTAATGGTTCTTTAGGCATGGTTTTTGTAGGAACCAAGAACCGAACCGTTAACAAAGAATAAGAACCGAACCGTTAACAATTTGTAACTCAGGTGTAGGAATCGAACTGAATCGGATTTTAACAGTTCGGTTCCAACGGTTTTCCGGTTCTTGGTTCAAAAGTCTCACCCCGTTGTTTGACAATCAATGATGGCTATTAGCTGATAATTGATTCTATAGCATATTGATGTCGCTAGATCTATTAGCTGTTTTGAGTTTTGATCAGCCACTATCATTAGCTAGAGGATTGAAGTAAAATGTGTGATGCCTTATAGTTTTCACGATAAGCTACTAAGACAAAAATAATTACTCCGTATTAAGAACACAGATTAAGAAAATATATGTAGCTTTTTATGAAGTATTTTTATAAGTACATTAACAACTATTTTATATAATCACTATTATTATTATTTTTAATAAATATACATGTACACACAAATACATACGTAGTAAATATTCTAAAATAGTTTTATTTTAACTATTATATATACACAAACTCGTTTATTTTTAGTATTAATATTTTAAATACAATTATTTTAAGTAGTTTTTAAAATAGCATTATAAAATAACAATTCCATTCATAATGATATTTATCATTGGTGTTATTACACTGTCGTAATTACTTTTGTTTTGTTTTATTTTTTGAATAATTATATCATAGTTATTAAATTATAACTATTCAGAGTGACTTTTTCACAGCAAACAGCCAAATCAAAAGTTGTTTACCAAACACTTAAAACAGTTGTTTGAGAAAGTCAAACAACCAAAATCAATCCAAAAAGTCAGAATATGACTAATAGATTGTTTACCAATTAAACACTATATATGACTATTCAAATAGGGTGAATAGTATAATCAGTCAATGATCTCATTTTAACTAGTGGGGAAACTCAGCAGCCCCATACCTCACTCATCTTATTTTTCCTGAAATTAAATTTTATTTTGAGTTACGCCATATTATCGTGTTTGATAAATTGTATATTCAGAAACTACACACATAACATTTTAAAAATCTCCAATTTTTTATGCTATTATTTTAATATTTAATTAGTGTTATTTCTTTCAATATTTTATTCTTGCACGGCGTAAATGTCGTTGGTTCCACACATTGCAACATACTCTTCGAAACGGTCATTTTGAAAACTGATTTCCTATTAAACACATTAATTAACAACTTTTTTCAACTTAAACACTACTCAATTAAAAATATTGGTCAAACCATTTTGTTCAAAAAATCATATGCATTTTTTATAACACTTTAAGAAAGTAATGGTCACAAATATGAGAGCATCTTCATTCATGTTATTCAAATAAAATGTTTTTTCTAGTACACATAACTGCCACATTAGTTTTTTAAGATATACATGAAATATATTTTAACTATAACCTAAAAGAATTGGGTTTTGAATCTTGATAACGAAATCTGTTTTCAAGTATCCCCTAAGTAATCTCTTTCCTTCGATGCTAACCTTTGAAATAATGTGACATGTCTTCTAATTAATCTTCAAATAAATTAATTTAAGATTTAGAAATTATTCCAAATAAGACTTAAACTATGGCAAAAACTCAAAATAAGACTTATTATGTTTTTCTTTTCAAAATAGGACCATATTAGTCCTATTGGAAGCATACCTATTTTTTCATGCCATTCTTACCCTTTCTTTAAATATGAGTTAATTAAATGTTTAATTCATAATAAATTCAAATAAAGAAATTCAAAAATTCGTAGAAAAATAATTAAAAAATTTATAAAATATTTATAAAATAAAAAATTAAAAAAATTTATTTTTATTTTTTAAAAAAATTTAATAAAAATAGTAAAACTAAATAAAAAAATTAAAAAAATTGATGCCTTTCCCACCGCCTGTACTACCTCCTTGCACCACCATCTTCGACCGGTGAAAAAAATGTCATTTTCCCTAAAAACTGCCATTTTTTCTGAAAATGCTAAAAACATGACATATTTCTCTTTGAGAATGCCAACATTTTAATTGTTTTTTGCCATAAATATGTCATTCGTAATGAACTTAGCATTTTTCCCCTGGTGACTGGAGGTGGTGGTGCAGAGGCGGCAGAGGTGGCGGTGAATTTTATTTTATTTTTTGGAGTTTTTTATTTTTTTATTTTTTTTTATTTTTTGAAAAAATAAATAAATAAATTATTATTATCTAAATATTTTTATTAATTTTTAGTATTTTTTACGATTATATTTATTTTTTATTATTTTATTATGACATAAAACATTTCAATAGCTATAAGGGTATATTTGTCCAAGACACACATAATTAGTCCTATGAAAACATAGTTTATGTTTTGGTTCTATTTGTGCAAAGTGAGTGACTTTTAGTCCTATTTTGATAATTAACCCTTTAAGATTATACCACTTCATGAAATATTCTTTTTGGGAAGAATTGAGATATATCACCTTTCTTTTTTTTAACGGTCAAATATTCCTTTTGGGATGTTGTTATCAATTGTCTAACTTTTTGTAGTAATTTTTTCCTATAAAAATACATTACATAACTTATTATCATACTTTTTTACCTTTTACAAATCAATTTCTCTTTCTTACATTTTCATTATGCTCATTAAATATTCTCATACGAAGTATTGTTTTTTATTAAAGGGAGAAAATATTAGTACTTTATACTAACAAAAAGAGTACGTAGTAAGAAACTACTATATATATATATATATATATATATATATATATATATATATATATATATATATATATATATATATATATATATATATATATATATATATATATATATATATATATATATATATATATATATATATATATATATAGGGATTGATTCCACTGCAAAGAAGATGCCAGGTGAAAAGTAAAAATTCATCCGTACCGTGCAAAACATAGAACTAATGGCTGAGATTATGTGGTCCATGTTAATTAAAGTGGAGACCCAAACACCAGATTCTAGCGTATGGGACAGGATACACGCTTGTGATTATATCCCAGGGCTCTTTGGTAAATTCAAATTGGCGACTTACAGTTGATTTCACTGCACGATGCCCATCATCGCGAGAACTCTGCATCTTCCATTTATGAAATAACTTTCAATTTTTGAATGATGTGAATTACTTGATCGTCGTGCGATACGAAGAGAAGACGGACGAAGTGCACAGAAAAACACTTCCGACAAGCCTTTTACAGTTGGAAGAAGCAAGTAATGGCAGAGGAGGCCATTGTAGAAGACGTTATCGCAGCAACAAGGTAAGGGACAAAGTGATATACATTTCTGGAAAAGTATAAATATGTTTATGATTACAGTAATGCTATAAAACTCCAACAATCGCACATCACTTTCAGTTTCATGCATTTAGTGCATATAAACAATCACACATCAACTGATTTAGTGCATATAAATGTGTTTATGATTAGATTAATGCTATAAAACTCCAAATGTGGTATTTCAATGTGATGAATCTGAAAGTGATGTGCGATTGTTGGTTAAAGATTTCAATAACAAATATA